TCTTCCTCTTCCCCGCTGAGTAATGCTAAGCAAGATGTGTACTCCTCCCCTCTCATACTTTGACTTTCTAGTGTATAAAATGGGAATGAAACCTACCTTGCACTACGGTTGTCAGGATTAAGTTATTCATATGACAGTGCCAAGCCCCATGCAGGGTACCTGGAGAGATTACAAATGCAATGCTTTCTTTCTACTGTCATCTGAAATGTCAGATAGGATTGAAAATTATGTGAAATCCAAATACCCTAAATCGGCGGTATAACTAAATACCAGAGAAATAGATAAATTAACAGTCCACTTTACCAACTGAAAGACTGCTGGGCAGAAAAAATAAAACAAACTGAGACAATTAACATATTCTGTAATATATGAGAACTCAAATAACAGAATTTGCATTTTTTGGAAGGCTAAAAATATAGTCATGAAACTATTTCTTTCTCAGTCACAAATGCCTGTAACATTAATTAAGCAATAACCACCTGTCAGGTACTAAGTATTTTAGAAGGATTTTATTATTTCATCCTCACTAGCAAGTGACAGAGCCAGGACCTGAACCCAGAAATCTGATGCCAGAACTCCTAACCATCATGTTATCTGCCTACCCATTAGTAAAACATGTGAGTTTAAAAACCTCATGGTCAATTTCCTGTGCTCATAATAACCAACCTTCTTAACCTTCCAGTAACTTTTTATAACATGCAATACTAGCCTTATTTTGACAAGACATTTTCCAGATGAAAACCTCATAACTACATGTTCTATTAAATACTTACAGTATATTAAATCTAAATCACAGTCCAAATCTAAATTATTAAATAATTAAATTCCAGTCCTGGGTGTATTTAAATATCTGTTATATTTACTTACACAGAACATATGCTTTGCATGGAGTAACGACAACAAATACTTGATTAGCTATTTAGTTACAGCAGATAAAGAATCAAGTTACACGGTTTTCTGTGTCTAAATATTTATTTTGTCAGTAACTATAAGCTTTCTCCAGAAATGAAAAAGGCTATCTGGATTATGGTAAACTCAAATATTTGTTTTCTTGCTGAGCTTTTAAGGCAAATAATTAACGGAGAAGAGAGAAGTAAGATGACTTTCAAATATTAACAACAAAGATGACCAACAGTATAATGGGTAGCTACCCTACCATATTCTCTTTAACCACATTCCCTTTCTGTCTTCCACAAAAGAAAGGCTTCCTCCAACTATAAAGACGCCTAATCTTTCATCACTTGCCATTACTTAAAATCACTTAAGATTTATATTAAGTTAAAAAACTTTTTCATTGAGATCACATATTTTCAGTGGGCCTTTCCAGTCATTTAATGAAGAAATTATTTTAAACATAAAAATATGCTTGAAATAGCTCATTACAGAATCCACATCATTATAATCTTATGCTTGGCCTCAGGAATGTTATACAATGATTTGAGTTCAAAGTAAAGAAAACTGCATTAAAACATGGAATAGATTTTGTGGGGTTTTGTGTTTGTGTGCATGTGTGTGATTTTAAAGGTGTAATAGCTTAACCAGATATTCCTGTTTCTCTGACTGGAATGTAAATAATACCAGAACACAATCCAGAAAAGCTTGCTTTACCACAAACAGATCAAATCTGTATTGGGCCACAAGGAACACAGAACAAGAATCTCTTCTTAATACATGTTCTATTTAAGATAATAAACTGTATACTGTACCGTCTTCTCATGATATTTTGCTCTAGCAAACTCTCCATTTTTAGGAAATGCCGTATTCCCTTATCTGATTTACTGCTTCTCTGGGAGATTCTGTTCTGTGTAGTTAGAATTATTTAAAAAATAACAATAACAAAAAACCTTATTTGATGAAAATAAAAAGTGAAAAAAAATCACATTTCTTTAGTAAACAACTGCAAAAAGGGCAAGGGGCTGATAAGTGCTATATGAATAAAAGATTTTTAATTATACATCAATTCTATCATTCTCTCAACAATACATTTCATAACTTAAAAGGATTACAGTGACTACGTGGGTAATTAACTTGGAATACTCTAAAAACAATCCAATAGTAAAGATAATTGCATGGCCAGTAATATTCCAGCTGAATGAAACATTCTTAATGGAAACCAGCACTTGTCATGTATTTAAATTAGATTTAAAATTAAATTAGATTTCCAGCTAGCTAGAAAATCTTTTTTAAAAGTCAGTAATTCAAATGGAAACTTTACATTAATTTAAAAAGTAGTACCATCAATTTGGATCCAGTTCACCCTTATTGTTAACAAGCACTGAGGTAGAAAAATGAGTCATCAGCTAAAAGCCTGAACAATCTCAGAATGGATAACTGAATTGTAAATAATTAAGATATATATTTTCTAAGCAAACAAACACATATTTTATAAAGCACATATATTCCCCTTAATTCAGTTTCTACTTCTGCACTGTCTCGTAAACAAAAAACTTAAATTATGTGTAATATATCAAACTTTTACACTCTAAAATATTCCATCTGTATAAAAAGTGATATGTTTGTTATGTATTATTTTTCCAACTCATTAAAGCTGATGTCCCACAGTGCTTTATTTATCAATACTTTGTATTGAGATTTAATTGCATTACTTGAAAGTAATGAATCTGCACAGTTTGAAACAATTTTCTGTGTATGCTTTTCAATGATTTTGATTGTCCTCCAATTTAGAAATCACTGACAGTCTGTTGAATGGCATTAAGTATGAATGACTTCTATAAGATGCCAACTTAAGCATAGATGAATCCCCATCTCCCAGTGATCACTGAGAAGGCCAGAGAAATATAAAGAAAAACTTCACTAGCACCAAAAACTTGGGATGGGTATTGGTGACGCTACAAACCCCAAACCTCCAAGGATTTCTCTAACATAGTGTATGAAGAGTTAAAACAGGGAAGGGCAAACGCATCGGAATTACTAAACATGAAAGAACAATTTGACTTTTGGGGAGACACACTAACTGAAAGCACAAAGAATGGACCTAAAAGTAGACAGTTATGTGCAAGGCACAGAGTCTGGATCCCACATTTGACAAATGAGGTATGTATCAAAGACTTAATTCAGCAATTCATTACCTAGGACTTTACCCTACAGAGAAAATTGGACAAATATGCAAAGATGTATGTTTAAGTATGACAACAACTGTATGTGATAATAAAATATTACTAATAGTGAAATGGGAAATGACCTAAACATTCTTTAATAAAAACCTGGTACAATATTTTATACAAATAATGAAATATTACATATATGTAAGTTTCACTGACATAGAATGAGCTTCATAATATACTGCTGAGGGGAAAAAAAGATTAAAAAGAACATGAATATTATAGTTACATACATGGAGAAAGACAGCTGCAAAAATTATCACCAAAAGCAAATGGAGGTCTCCTCTGGGTGGTTGGCGAGGAAAGTAACTAAGATTGCTTAAATTTTCTAAATAAATATATCTTTGTGATCAGAAAAAAATTCTCTTCATGTTGGAAAAAGAAAGCACATTTATTTTTTCATGCCATAATTCTTTGGGGAGTTATTACCTTAAGAAAATAATTAGAAAAATTCATGAAGCTATAGATTCAAAGATTCTATCACAGCAGTATTTACTATTGTAAAATATTGGCAATAATCTAAATAATAAATACTGAATTTGTTAAATAATATATAATTGCATACTACAAAGTCATTAATATTAATATACAGTCATCACCGTAAATTCAGTGACCTTGAGAATGTTACATACCCTCTAGGTGTCAGTTTCCTCATCTGTAAAATGGATATAAAAAGGGCACTTATCTCACAGTGCTTTACCTAGCATATCAGCTTTATCTTATTGTGATAGGAGAGGAAAAATCTGATGTTTGTGAGCTTTCTTGATAACACAGGCTGCTGCTTCATAAATTTACCTTGCTATCTGCTTCTAAAAATTTCAAGATGAACAATCAATTTGACCACCCATCAAGTTCAGAAAATATGAATCTAAGACCACAAAGGCAATAAATATCACACTTGAAAACAGGACATCTCTGCAACTATTAGCCTAATTTTTAAAAAATTCCTATACTGGCTGGGCTCACAGCAAGTGGGACAACAGGCACACACCTGTTGAAGTCCCAGTCACTTGCGGGGCTGAGGGAAGAGGATCATTTGGGCCCAAGCATTGGAGGCAGCCTGGGCAAGATAGTGAGAACCTGTCTTTTTCTTTTTTTGAGATGGAGTCTTGCTCTGTCACCCAGGCTGGAGTGCTCTGGCACAATCTCGGCTCACTGCAACCTCCGCCTCCCAGGTTCAAGCGATTCTCCTGCCTCAGCCTCCCGAGTAGCTGGGACTACAGGTGTGTGCGACCTCACCAGGCTAATTTTTTTGTATTTTTAGTAGAGACAGGGTTTCACCTTGTTAGCCACAATAGTCTCAATCTCCTGACCTCATGATCTGCCATCTTGGCCTCCCAAAGTGCTGGGATTACAGGCTTGAGCCACCATGCCTGGCCTGAACCTTTTTTTAAAAAATAAATAAATAAATAAATAAACAAATCTCTGGGCGCTGTGGCTCACGCCTGTAATCCCAGCTCTTAGTGAGGCAGAGGCGGGAGGATAGCTTGAGCCCAGGAGTTAGAGACCTGCCTGGGCAATATAGCGAGACCACGTTCTCCACAAAAAGAAAAAAAACAAAAAAAAAAAAAAAAAAAAAAAAAAAAAAAAAAAAAAAAAAAAAGGATACTACCTATATATAATTACAAAGTAAGCTTGTGTATTCATCTGTACATGTGCAAAAAATAGTGCTAGAAGATAAAACCAGGCCTACTTGGATGCCTGTGGCACTGGGACAGTCCCCAGTAAGAATCTGACTAGGTTACAGTGACTGAGAGAATTGGTATCCCTACTTAATTGAACAACAAAACAATTTACATATACATACTAGTTTGTTTCATCAGTTTTACTATCATTGTACAAATATTAATTTTGTTGCTTTAAGTAACTGAAACCAACCTGCCATGGTCTTTCCCAATCCAGTGGAATAGGAAGTGCTCCAAGCCATGCTCCTACAAAACTAGAAATTGTAGTGATCTGGAGACTGTTCTCCCATATGGATGTAACTCTGTGAAACACAAATTGGTAAATCATTGGTGGTATATATATTAGCTGCTGGAGAAGTCTACAAGTAGTAGCATACATTATCAGTATACATATATTTTCCGCTAATTTAAAATGAAAATCTCAAAATGACATATAAATATTTACCATGAATGATTAACAGTTAATTAGTAAGAAGATATAAATGTTTTCCATTGGAAAAGTAATATACACATGTAGTAAGAGTCAAACCATGCTAAAGAGCTAAGTCTTCCACCCCTATCATCAACTCCTGGTTCCTTTCCCCACAGGCAACTGCTATTACCAAATTATTACATATTCTTTCAGAAATATTTTATACATGAGCAAATATACACATAATTTTGTTTTGGAGGCTATATGTATATTTACATAAAATACACATATACATATTATTTCTTCAAAACAAAACTCAGATGCAGAGGTCGGATCCAAGATGTCCGTTTAGGAAGAGCTCAGGATTGCAGCTCCCAGTGAAAGCGCAGAGGGTGAGTGGATGCCGC